AGGGCACAGAGATGGAAGAGCAGCTCTAGAACTTCTAGCTTGAACTTTCCTGACATACCTTAATAGCTTAAAAAAAACGTCCGTATTGACACAGCCAATTATGTCCTTTTAAAAAATTATTCTTCTGGGGGCAGGGCACAACTACAACGAGGACTATAGCTGACAGATACAAACACTATAAGGCAATTCTTTGTACCCTCAAATCAACCCGAAATTTAAAAAATATATAATACTCAATTAAAAATATGATCCTTTATGGCAGATGTTAGAATAGCGGTATTTTTAAGGAGGAGGGGAAAAGGAAGCCTTCTGGGATGCTAGAAATGTCTTGATCTAGGTGTTGGGTCTAACAACTGTATTCCTCAAAGTGTTAGCTATATAATTTCCAGAAACTGCTATATATTTTTTGAAGTATTCTTGATGAGTATTTGGACAAATCTCTGAGGACTTATGCTTACAAAGTGGATACTTAGACTTTTAATTTAAAATTCCTCCTTGAAAATAGAGCAAATAAGTTTTTTTATACCATAAAGAGCAACTCATATTTACACATGCTTGGTTGATGGCACGGCGCAGCGGCTTTTAGTTGTTAAGGAAAATACACATAGGAAGACGCTCAACGGGCCCACAGTGTTTTTATCTTGTGCTTTCTATTCTCGTCTTCGTGAGTGTCAAACAGAAGCTGTTCTGCTAAGCAGGAAAAAACCAGATCCTTGCTATCCGTTGACACCAATTCCAGGACTTGACAGACTACAGTGCCACGGGGAGCTCACTCTAACTCGAACTCTAACCCTAACCCTTGCAGAGGTGTCCAACCTGAGGTGCACTGGCTGCATGATTATTTTGGGAGGATGTTTTTGCTTACCTGTGGTGTTGGATATCATAAAAAAAAAAAAAAAATGTGCATGGAGGTTTTTTTTTTTTTTTTTTTTTTTTTGATAATGAGCTTTCCTTAGTGTTTGTGTATTTATTTTTTGTTTATCAGGCCCAGGCGAGGCTGAAAACCACTGTCTCCGGTGTGCGGGGCTGGTGCGCTAACCACTGACCTATGGCAGCCAGCCTATGTGTGTGTATTTAATGTGTGGCCCAAGACAACTCATGCTCTCAGGGTGCAGCAGGGAAAATAATGGTTGGACACCCCTATGGGTGTTTCCATTTTGTGTCCTACCAAGGTCCTGCAAAAGTAGTACGGAAAGTTCTTTCTGATGCTGAGAACGCTCCTTGACTTGTTCACTAAAGGGTTTCTGATTTCTTTACTGACAGTCCTGTATTAATCAGAAAAAAAGATATAATCATTTTACCTTATTGAAAAGACCATGATTAGTAAAAGCCTCTGCAGCACGTTTATCACTTAAACGCAGGATGGACACATGCCAGAAGAAATCTTTTGGGTTTAAAAATAGCTTTATTTAGCATACCAAAAAACACAGAAACATAAGAAAGACCCTACCTAGTATAAACATAAAAATAGTTAAATACCATAATTTAATGTAAACCAAGCATTTAAAAATGTGAAATGTTATCGTAAAATACATACTATTTACAGAGAACCAAGTTAAATTGACCTCCACAGTTACTGGATTTGATCACCGATCACAAAGTCATCATTAGCAATGAAACAAACACAACATCTCTATTTGTACTGCTCAATAGGAAAAGAATAAATCATTTTAATTACATTAAACAAAAAAATTATCGTGTTAGAAGAGGAAAAGTGCCAGTTCTAGTATTCCAGACACAACTACTGCACGTGGAGGCTTGTAAACCATTCTGCGGAAAGACCATCGAGCCTATTCTCTTATTGGAAAGCAAACTAGTTGATTCAATTTAGTTACTGCTTAAGAAAGGTACTAAATATATTTTTGCAAAAATAAACCTTTATTAAAAACAATCAAAGGTGAATGTAATATCAACCAGGTACAAAAAGCAAAAGCATAAAAAATATATATTATTCTAGACAAGCCCCTTAATTGTAACAAATGCTGAGAAACTCAGTTTACAAACCAGGTGGGGTAGCAAAAGGGATCTTAAAAATAGAAAACCCAAACCAAACTGAAACCAAACAAACACACCCAAGATAATGCTTCTTGAAGAAAGAGGTGGTGTTTGGTTTATTCTGTCATTATCATGCGAAAGCCACCAGGAGATCTATGGATCATACACCTATGACTATGAAGTAGTGTTTTCCTGGGCCAACAGTCTAAAATGTGGTTGTCACTGATCAGGTCAAGCATTTGGGCTTTGGTTCAAGGATCAACATGCGTTCTGATATTGCAATTTGAGTATCTCTAAAAGGCAGCATTAAATCCAACATCAGGAGTTTGAAATGGAAAATAAAGTAGCAAGACTACCTAGTAAGAGGATATCTTGCTCCTTTGCCTAATCCTGTAATTCTCAAACTTTTGGTTTCCGGACCGCTTTATACTTTTTAAATTTATTGGGGATGCGGTTGCCAAAGAGCTTTTGTTTATGAGGTTTCTATCAATCAATATTTACCACATTAGAAAATAAAACAAAATTTGCAGAAGTATTAATTCATTGAAAAGTAATAAACTCATCAGATGCTAACAAATTTTGTGAAATATAGCTGCATTTTAAAAAAGAGAATGAAATATTTGTGGGAAGATGGCATCATTTTACATTTTCAACTCCTTTTTGAGAGAATTAGAGTGAAAAGACAAAGAATATATGTATCTTATTATGAAAATAGTTTCATCTCACAGACTCCCTCAAAGGGTCTCAAGAAACCTAGAGGTCCATGGGCCACATTTTGAAAACTGCTGGTCTAATCTAAAGCCTAACGTTAAGGACGAAAAACCCACACAAAAGGAGCCTTAATTTTCATTTTAAAATAAAACAAAATTCCATACAAGTTACTGGATCAAATACTCCCACCTTCACCTCTAACTAAGGACCAAAGATTGACTTGTACTCATGGCAAAATTTTCTAACTCGTCCTTTGTGAGACCAACTTCAAGATACAGTCAATCTTCGGTTAGTCCGCGAAGGCTATAAAACCTCTGAACTAAGCACGCACAATGTTTGTTCCCTTTCAACATTTGCTTAACGCTGTTTGTGCTGAGTGGACTGTCACTTTCAGTTGGCACAGCTTTGGTATGGACCTCAGTATGGCAGGGGTTAACGGTTAATAACAGCCCACACACTCAGGTTTGAAATACAGTAGCTACTGATGGAGCAGCTTGCTCTATTTTGCACTATGTGAAAAGCTCTGATCAATTTTAGGGACACACAGGGAGAAAATTCTCCCTAGGGCATAACACCACCACCACAACCTTGTTCTTACACAGCTCTTCACATTTTACAAATTACCTGCACACACACACCATCTCGTTTGATCTCTTAAATCCCAGGGAAAGGTGCAGGACAAATGATGTTATCTGTACTTTCGAGGAAAGGAGTTGGGGACTCCCAACTGGGGGACAACTCCCAATCTGGGGGACAGATATGGGTTTCCCCAGGGACCTTGGCATGTATCCTCCCACTTGAGAATTTCCCCCAGATTCCTCTTTCCTTTGGTTCCAGGGCAGGATTAGGGGAGGGGTCGGTGGAGGATGGAGACAGGGAATGTGGCACAGCTGCAACCTACATTCCTTTTGCCTCATCAACCGTTTTATCCCCAGCTAAAGAGGCTTTGGACTGGCACAGACATTTCCGTGGCCTGATCTAATGGAATTTGTCTTATTTTGTCTTTCTCAGCCAGTCTATGTTGGTAGTTCACATACAACCTATTCTCTCCATTTCCAAGGAAAAATAAAAACTCGGAGGTTGACAAAACTCGTGATGGAAATACAAACCGAAACGGCAACAAGAATGAGATCTATGTGGGGCTATCACTAGATTTATCGTGCATGAGGCATACCAGAGACTTTGCGATCTTCTTCTTACCAATTGAAGGGCAATATAAAAAAATCACAGTTCATAAATTTAATGGAAAATTGCCTCCTGAAGCAAAGACTTTAGCTTATACAAAAACATTAAGAAAATACCTTCAAAAATTTAATTTAACTAAACTCTTTGGGGCTTGCAGATTCTGTCACGGTAGGAGGCAGAGTAGACTAAGTAGAGTAAAAGGCGATGAAACAGCGAGAAGAAAATAATTATTACCACCTGTGAGCAAAGGAGTACTTGGTATCTACTGCCTGTCATCAATACATATATCTACTTTAAAATTATGACACTGCCAGACAATCCTCCACATCCTGATGTTAATACATACAGCATACGACATAGAAAACGCTGTTTGATTTTGAAAGTGAGGGGATGGTCAACCAAAAAAAGAAAAAATCCCTAGTACAAAGCAAGCCAAATGCCACTCATGACTGATGACTTTCTGGCTGTACAATGTAAGCAAGTTATTACTTACTGTGTGCTCACACACTTGCTCTTTCTTTCCTTCTGAGATGTTTCTAAAATCAAGAATGACTACATGCATTTTTCTTTCCTTTTACCCTAGATGAAGAAATAGGAGGTTAACAGAAGCCAGTCAGAATTAGAAAACATGCTAAGGACATCCTGTTTGCAAAATTCTATAGCATGTTGTTGGCTATTCCACAAATTGTCTGTCGGTGTCTTTTTTTTTTTTTTCTCCAATTCTGGTAAGTAATGCTCTCTTTCGAGGCGATTTAAATAGAAATTAATGGATCTTTAAGAGAGTTGCACATGTACTATGTTGATTCTTGTGCACATGTATATATGCATATCCATACATATCCATAGACACATGTATACCTCATCACGTCACACGAAGATCCCCACTAGTATATCTCTCCCTCTTTACATATTCTCTCCAGCAAAACTGAGAACGGAGAATGATTTTATAATAAGAAACCAAACCACAGAAAATCAAACCAGAAAGTGTGAAGTGGTATGCTGTAAGAATCCAATAAAACAAGTCAATGCACATTTATGTAATGGTAAAGTGCTAGAAAGTTCTTTCATTAGTATTTTAAAATGATTAGAGTAAAAAGAAGTCTGCGGCTTCATTTGACGGTGGTGACCACAGGCACCATGGCGATGGCACTGGCTGAGTTGGAGTTGACTATGTCCTCATATTCCGGGGGTGGGTCTGAGTGAGGTTCCATTTCACTCCTCTGCAGGTTCACCTGGCCAGTGGCTTCCTCGTAGGTTGGTGGGGGATCGCAGTTAGACAGGCGAGTGGAGACAGAATCTGAGCGCCCAACGACATATTCCAGAAAGCCTGGAGACAATCCACTGCTATCAAACACTTCATCTGGTGGGGGAGGTGGCGTGATAATATTCAGGTGCTGGGGAAAAGGAATGTGGCCTTCAGTCACTGTCTGTCTGCGAGTTTTGTTTCTTAGGAAGCACCTCCAGATTAGAAAAATGACAAGGAGGATAATGAAGAGGCCAAAGATTAACGGAAAGGTAAGGTAAAATTGAAACCAATCGCTTCCTCTGTCAGTCTCTCCTTGTTGAGCTTTTGTGTAGGTACTCCAAAACTCCTTCTGAAAAAACAAGACCAAATAAATTAAAAGTCAGTATGACTGCAACATGGGAAACATCAGATGAACCAACGTCTCGGTTTAATGAGCACAATGAACAAAAAACCAAAATGAGAGGTGGTGGTTCAAGGGAACTACAGCCTATATTCTCCATGAAAAGAAATTACAAATACACCATTGCGCTCACTCTGGATCCAAATGGTCAGTCAGAATGCAAGACTATTTTTCAAGACTTAGAGTCACTCATATTTTCACCTGTGACAGTTTACAGGGAAAAATAAAGAATGAGGGTTTTCCCCTTTAGCAATTACACCGACTAATTTCCCCTTAACACACAGTAAGTCAAATAGTACTCACCATAATCCAACTACGAGGTTCACATCTCTGATCCCCACCATTAATAGTACGTGCTAGTTCAGGCTGTTGTAGTACTCAAATCCCCGGTTGATAAACACTTGGTTTCCTAACAGTTCTGTTTGGGGTCCCTCTCCATCAGACATTGTTCTTCAAACTCCCTTTCTACCCCAGAGCTTAGTACACAGATGTTGACTAAAGGTCAAAATTGTGTATTGTTCCTAGGAGAGACCTCAGGCTACTGAAGAAACTGTATTAGGTCATTTCTAAACCTAGAACTAATCCCAAATGAAAAGTAGTCTAGCAGTTCAAGTCTTTGATATTTGTAAAGGGAGATAGTTAAAAGATAAAGAGGAAACTTGACCCAATTGCTAGTTATGGGCCTTGGGCAAGTTCCTCCTTTAGGGCTTAAATTCTTCACCTGTAAAATGGGAGACTACAGACCCATGGGATAGGCTGTCTGAGCAATAAATGAGATAGTGTACACAACAAGAAGCAAATCCATGACATATAAGAACTCAATGAATGGTAGTGATAATAATTAATTTTTATATATTACAATCAAGACTCGGCCTTCAAATGACTAATTAATACCTCGTGCAAAGACCTCCTTCAATTCCAGCGTTATTGACTCCATTTTCAACATTTAAGCTTGGTCCATAAGTGCTTTTTTCATAATCATATTTATTTGTAGATATTGAAGGTCACTGGTATTTCTTAAACACCTGGCAACAAGGGAGGGACCCCTTGGAATCCAAATTGATACAAGTGGCGTCAGGGAGGGGAGCTAGGTTATTACCCAAATGGACAAACAGAGGGAGTTGGACTGTATCAGGGATTTTGAACTCAGATGTCCCACGGGGGTGTGGCAATTACATAAAACACCAAATTTAGTCCAAGGTAAACCGCAGGGTACTAAAGCTGATTGTTGTGTAGTCTTAGATTTTATTTACTTAGTCGGATAGCCTTTTAAATCGCTCTGTGGGAATAATAATGACTTCAAATCATCAATGTTCTATGGTCGACTTAGATTTTCTTTAAGGTACATTCCAACATTCTATGATTCTAAGGTTAATTTGGACATGTTGTCAGAAATATGGCATGATGTACTAGAGGATGTGTACGTGTTCACAGTGAATTTCGCCTAAACAAAGCAGGCGAAAATATCCAAGCTTCAGTATTAAACTAAGGCAACCGCTCCTCAGCCTTCTGGCTAAGAACAATGTAGTGAAATAAGACAAGAATAGGCAAAAGATATTCCAGGTACATCATTCATTTCAGATCAATACCAAAATCTGGAATTGTGAAATGTCTCATTTGCTTCACTACAATTAAAAATTTTATCACAGGTTAAAAACCGATAAAATGTAGATGTATGAAGCTTTTCAAACAATACGTGTGCTTCTAAAATTGCATACTATTAACTTTTTTATATAATTTTCATTTTAAATATTGACAATTTATCACTGTTTATAAAGTAATACGCATTAATTATATAAAATTTCACTAATAAAAAAGAGCTAACAAAGAAAACTCGCTTGGAATTTTATCAGAAACCTATTAAGCACTATTAACATTATGGTTCCTACCGTGATAGACATTTTACATCTATTTCTGCCACACTTTTCCCAGTCATAATTGTCCCCCTACACAAAGACACATTCTTTGCAAATTTGGAATCAAACTGCACTAAATGGAATAAAAGTGTGAATCATGGATACCGTGGAATACTATCCAGCCATTAAAAACGTGGAGATTTTGCAGCATTTGTATTAACCTGATGGAGGTGGAACACATTATTCTTAGTGAAGCATCACAGGAATGGTGAAGCATAAATCCTGTATTCAACTTTGATATGAGGACGATTAATGACAATTAATGATGCAGTAAGGCACGGGGGAAGGGGAGAGCAGACAGAGAAGGGGGGAGGGGTGAGGGAAAGGAAAAGAGAAGAAAATAGTGACTAATTCTCACAGAAATTAGATTTAATTCTGACCAAAGTACATTACTTGAACATTAATCTTTGATTCAACTTGTTAATATGTTGTTTAGGATATTGCATCCTCATTTATAAGTGAAATGTGTTTGTAATTTCCCTTTAT